TGCACCTTATCTTAAGATCATAAATCCTTCAGGCCAGAAACTGCTCTTTTTATTTGAGCCTTTCCAGTCCCTATCAAATTGGACCTTTAGCTTCATTAGAGCTCATAGCAACTAATGGAAATGTGCAAAGAACTAAACATGCTCATCTTTTTTCTTCCACTGGATGCCCACCTTTTCCCTGCATATAAATGAAGCCCTCTTTGCAAAAGGATGTCATTATATCATCTTTGAGAAGTCATGGCAATTACAGGAGGTCTCCCAATAATTCGGGGGAAAAAGTCATATAATCTTCTCAAAAGGAAGAGAATGTGGGGTATGAAAGACTAGTCAGCCCTACCTCAATATCTCTTGATCGTAGATCAAGTTCTCCTGGAAACCATTTCCAAAAACCTGAAGGACAAGAAGGTGATTGGGAACAGCTAGCACAGAGTTATCAACAGAAAATCATACCTGTGAACCTGCCTGCCTTGCACAATGAGATGACAGGCTCTGTAGATGAATGGAAGGCAGTGGGGGTGGTGTTTACCTTGATTTCAGAACAGTTTCTGACAGTCTCTCACAGCAGCCTTGTAGTCAAATTGGGAAGTTAGGGACTGGATGGAGGAACTGTAAGATCTGTCAGGTTCAAAGCACAGCGAGCAAGAGTTTGAAATCTAGTCGGTGGCCAGTTTTGGGAGGCATGCCTCACAGGTCAACACTGAATCAATACTGTTTAACATCTACATTAATGACCTGCACAAAGGGACAGACTATAAAGGTTATGAATGATGGCGTATTGCAGAGAGCAGCTGATATGCTGGAGAGCAGCAGAACCATTTGGAGGGCACCTTGACAGGTTGGAAGAACGAACAGACAGAAACCTCACGAAGTTCAACAAAGATAGATGCAGATTCTTGCACCTGGAACAGACTAATCTTGTAGGCTGAGACCAAGCCAATAAGAAATAAACCTGTCCAAAAAAAGGTGGGGGGAAAGGGGGAAGGGCGGTGCTAGGACCCAAGAAGCAGCGTTAAGAATGAACTGGGCACTGCTTTGCAGCAATAACTACATACTGAACTACTTCAGTGGAAGCAGAGTCAGCAAGTCAAGGGAAGCTATTAACTCCTTCTATTCAATAATCTTGAGATCATATTTGGGCTATTGTATCAAGCTATAGCCCCCCTCTCCTTCCAGTGCAAGAACAGTTGCAAGGTGCACAGAATTTGTTCCCTCCAATGGTTGTGTCTGCTTTCAGTGGTTACACTGAATTTCCTCTTATCTCCATGCTACCACTTTATTTAAAGACCAACTGAAAGCATTGCGTCTATTACAGAGTCCATTTTCCACCAAAAAGTTGCTGGCAGGAATTCCAGCATGCATGCAGTTAATATTCTACGAAGATGATTCATATAGGTGAATATACATGCAAAAAAAAAAATGACCTACATTATTCCCAGCTGGAGGTCACACTGCTGATAAAAAAAATAAATAAATACTCTGGTACAATTGATTCCATCCTAGTGGTTCTCATAAAGGAACTTAACTACAATTCTCTGATTTAGGCCTTCCCCTGCAGCCCTCAAAGTAGTATTTATCAGGAAAAAGGTATATCTTATTTATTTTACTGGTATTTATTTCCAGATTTCCTTCATCTCTTCCTCTTTATTGCATTATATAAGTACCACTCATCTCAATGAGAGCAGGTCATGAAATGGAAATGTTAAACCAGCTGCATAGCTAAGGCTAAGAAAGAGAACCTTCCTTAGATGAAAAGAAACAAAACAATGAATCCAGTTCACAAGAATGCTACAGAATATTTAAATCCAAATCAACCTGCTGAAGTATAAAGAGGAATTTAGATAAATGCCCCTGGAATAACAAGATAGGACATGACATGAGACTCATTTAGCTTGTCAGACACTCAGGAGAATCAAATTTGATCCAGGGCCTGGCTGACCTGTAAATGGATTTTAAACTAGAAATATGAAAGATAGGGCAGCTGAGAAAAAAAAAATCGAGTCTCTTGGCACTTCCAGGAAGTTTCCATGGCAGGAAGCGTGACTTACTTAAAAAGACAAGGTCTGCTATAGTTACCCCTCAGCAGTGCCACAGGTATGTTCAACCTTTAAAAATAGGGAAGACCTCCTAAGGGCTTACAAGTTAAGTAAGGACTTAATCAGATGAACACTTCTACTGACCTCAATAGGAAAATCTGATAAATTTTCTCTAAGGGCAGGGAAAGATAAATTATGTGAAGTCTGGTGACCCCCTTCCCAAGAATGACATGAAGGCTACTGATACTTTAATAGCCCAAACACCTTTCTTATGGAAGTCTAAGAACTGCTTAGCAATCTGAATGAGCCTGATGAATGGATTTAAACCTAACCAAGGCTTGGAGAATATTATCTGTCAGTGAAGAGCCTAGAAGTTCATTATAAGGATTCCAAACCTAAAATATATCAGCAGGTCATCAAGAGAATGAGCCTGTGTTCAGCAAAGAAAAGTACAGGGCCCTGCACCTAGGGAGGAATGACCCCATGCACCAAGGGCTGACCTCCTAGAGAGCAACTCTGCAGAGAAGGACCTGGGAATCCTGTGGACTAGAGAGTGACCACAAGCCAGCAGTGTGCCCTTGTGGCCAAAAGGCCCTGAATCCTAGGCTGCTTTAGGAAGAGTGCTGCCAGCAAGCTGGGGAAGGTGATCCTGCCCCTCTGATTAGCCCTGGTGAAGTCACATCTGGAGTAGTGTCCAGTTCTGGGCTCCTCAAAAAGAGAGACAGGGATCTAAAGGACAGAGTCCTGAGTAGGGCTACAAAGATGATCAGGGGACTATAGCATCCCTTACACGAGGAGAGGCTGAGAGAGCTGGGCCTGTTTAGCCTAAAGAAGAGATGGCCGAGAGGGGATCTTATTAGCGTATACAATATCCCAAGGGTTTCAAGAGGATGGGACCGGACTGTTTTCTGCGGTGGCCAGTGAAAGGACAAGAGGCAACAGCCACAGCCTGAAACATATGAAGTTCCATCTCCACATGAGGAGGAACTTCTTTACGGTAAGTGTGACAGAGCCCTGGAACAGGCTGCCCAGAGAGGTTGCGGAGTCTCCTTCTCTAGAGATATTCAAAACCTGCCTGAATGCTGCACTGTGCAATGTGCTTGTGCAGGGGACTGGACTAGGTGATCTTCAGTGGTGCCTTCAAACCCTCAGCCTTCTGCGATTTTGTGCAATTTTGCTGTCCTCTCAGTGTGCTCACGAGTAGCAGGCACTCGAGTACTGTTCTTCAGGTTTACCTTCTCTCTGTACGTTCTAGATTACCAGCTTTCCAGTGCTGAGACTTCCTGCACTACATCACAAGCATCATTGAGCCAAGTGCTGTAGAAAATAAAACAACTCAATGACTAATTAAAAGCAGGCACATTCTCCTCTCTGTAAAACCATTACAGCTTGTCCTATAATCCAAACTGACCTCTGCACTCCTTTAGCAAGGTAAAAAGGATTTCCCTGTTTTAAAATGAATCCCCTCTCTATATGCCCTCCCAGAGGAGAGGGAAAAAAAAGTTTTGAGAGGGATTTACATGGGCAGATGATCTGACACAGATCTGACAGTTTGCTTGGGCTGCGAAACATAAATCCAATTTGGATTTCTCTCCAAGAATAAGTAGGTATTAGGGGATCAGACATGGACAGCAGTATATAACTGTATTTGTCAATCATGATTTAGATGGAGTAATTCATTTTTTGTTTTGTGTGTGTTATGGTCATTTAACATTTTAACAAAGAATTAAAAATAAAAAAATGCCTTATATGCTTACAATCAAATTTTCTCTCAGTTACTTGATTTATAAGTAAGTGAAAGCAGAGCATTGCAAAGCCACTAAAAACATAAAAACATGCAAAAATCTGTTATCTGCTTGAGATTGCTAACTGCACCTCCACATTCAAGTGGATTTCACATGCTCAAATGATCCTGTCTGAAAGCTCCACGCAGGCAGAAAAGCAGAGGAACTCTGTGCATACAAATACCTCCTATTTCTAAATGATTTAAGAACCAGTGTAGCCGCTGCCTCCTTGACACATGCTATGAAGGTATATATTCTAAAAAAAAATGCAGCCCAATATAAGCTCAGTCATTTAAGAAAAATACAGCGAGTGTGATCAGGGACACAGGAAGAGGGGGTAAAATTACCTTCCATATATTCTGCAACACAAACAGTAACAGGGGGGCGAGGGGAGAGGCTACAGAGAGAAGAGACTTGCCTGTGTATGCTGCAAGGTGCAACATAATCATCAGTCGTGGAGACACCTCCAGTAGATACAACTGGACAACACTTTTTGAAGAGAGGGAGAACATAAGACAGAAATGGTCTGATCAGCACCCAGAAGGTTCTGAACTCAGATGGCAGGATCAACTTCAAGAGCAAGTGCCCTGGGATACACTGACAGTCACTTTTGAAGTTATTCACTAAGGAACAGAAGCTTTGCATGTCCTCTCTCATACTCTTAAGGATATTCAAGGGTACAAGTTCCTCTCCATGAACCCAGCCTGCACATTTATGTCCAAGTTCTCCCAACTCCTTATGCGGTAGGAAATTCAGGAAGGAACATGCAATACACAAGCAAGACTAAAGACACTCAGAACGAGGAAGAAGGAAAAGCCACAGCAGGTCATGCTGCTGGTGAGCCAGTGGTGACTCCCGACTGGACGAGTATCACCTCTGCTTCTCCAGAAACAGCATGAACTGAATCCATTAGCGGCCTGATGACATTCAGCTAATACCAAATTCAGGTTCCACGTTTCAACCTGTTTGCTTCCCTCCCCATCTCCCAGCCAAGAATTCCTGTGGCCTGAGAATGGACTGCGGGCAAGGCTTCGCCTCCCTGTAGCTACAGCAGGGCTTTCACCCAAAAATCACTACATACAGCAAACAAGCAACACGTCCACGGGATGATACAAGATGAAGATGTGAAAACCCAGAATATTCTGTACATGACCCAGCATGTATGAGCTGGCATCAAGGAAAGAGATGAATGCATTAAAAAATACTCACAGCAATAGCAAGAACAGTTTTTAAAAGCCAATGACTTCCCAACACCACCGATTACCTTTCTTTAAACACATTCACAAACATTATTTAGGCATGTGGGGCACGCAGATCAGCCCAGATGCTGCCACGCATCACGTCCAATACTGAAGATATTGTTACTGCCAAACAAGACATTTGGAGGAGATATATAAAGTCCAACACTTCCAAAATCCAGTAAGCATTTATGAGTTGCAATGCTTCCTTTTAGCTGTGCCCAGGACTCTTCTCTAGTGGCATTTTGAAAAAGTCAGTGGAGGAAGCAGCAATGGCTTTTTCAGCTGCTGGTGTTTTCCCAGTCCATTCAGAGCTCTGAGATCTTGGAAATAGTGTTGCTGGTAGGTCTGAGTCTGCAGCATCCATGTGGACAGACAATGCTGCTGGAATACAAAATTGGAGGAAAGGGGGAAGAGAGGAAGAAAGTAGGAAAGGGCAAAAGAAAAGAATTAAAATTAGTGACCTCATGGCAATTCCCCTCTTAGAACTGCAGTAGTTGTCAGCTACAGGCCTCATGTCTCACTTCTCGCAGGAAAGCGGTATTTATGCAGTTACTTTCACGACTACCACATATGCATGCATTTATTTGAAATATAGGTTCTTGGTAGCTTTAGCATTCTTGTCCTGGTGATTCCCACATTCAGAATTCTGAATTCCCAGTCCACACACTAGAGTCCTTAGTCATAGTTCCTGTTGAATCGAGAACTTTAGTAGCCTCTTACTTAAAATAAATAAATTTGTAATTATTTAATAGACAAAGACCTGACCTCCCCACCCAAGGTTCTATTAACCCTCATTCTGAGCATTTCAGAGTTTCTGGGAGCTTGCCAAATTTCAGGTCATAGAACTTGGAGGAAAATACAGCTCTCATCTTCATTTAGTACAGACAGTACCAGGAATATTTATCCAATGCAATAAAACAGCACATTATAACATGAAGCTACCTACTAATCTAGGTTGGAAACCACTGCTTCAAAATGGGACAGGTTGTAATTAGAAAGAGCAAATTTGCAAATCAATACCTCAACCCAACAGCCAACCAAATTTCCAGAAGGATTGCCAGTAACCTAGAGATAAGATAGTTTACATCCCATCCTCACTATCCTGCATCAGTAAGTCATAAGCAGAGTCATGCAGGACAAAAATGGGTTAAAAAAAAAAAAGACAACAATAACAAAAAAACATTTACACTGTATTCTCACAACAGAAAATACTTGTTTAGCTTTTTTTTTTTAATTGCGAGTTGCCTCTACTGCTCTGCAATGAATGAGGGAAAAAGGCTAAAAAAAAAAAAAAAAAAAGGGCCCTAACTAGAAGTCTTACTACTAGGAAGTTTAAATATAGTGCTGGTATCAGTATTTTAGGTTGCTCGCTCAGTGGAGCTGAAACACTAATAATCCTGCTCCTGCATCCAAAACAGTGGAGTCATTCCCATGCAACCACAACTTGGCTTATAATGGCATTTTTCATCCTTATGCCACCAATTTTCTCCATCCAAAGGTCATATGAAACACAAAAAAAAAACATGCAAGTCTAAGTCCCTGCTATAGTCTTGTCCATTAATTAATAATCACCACCAACACCACAACAGGGACCCTCACTAACATCATCTCAATTTTGCTACTTTGCTCATAAAAAATAAAAAATAAAAAGGACTAAATGGGCTTCTTGCCACTAGATCATGACATCACGCATAAGAAACACAGAGGGGGAAAAAAAAAAAAATCACCAAGTCGCTAATGCTCACACGAGGACAATTTCCAGAGGCTGCCTAAAGGGCACCTTTTAGAAACTATTATTTTCCATGAGTCACATATGAATGCATGTCAAAACACACAAAATCTATTTATGTTGATTTATACTCCAGACTCATCATGTGGTACCTGAATAGGAAGACCTGAATACCTTGTGCTGTGCTACATACCTGGACCATAAAAAAAATTATTAATGACAATCAGATCACTTTCAATCCAGAAAACAGCTACAGAGGTATAAATATAGTTCTACCTAGTATTTGTCAGATAAGCTCCACTATGCCATGTGGGACATTACTCCAAACATACTGCATTGAAATGGAGACTATTAAACACAGTGACACTACCTATGCCTTAAGAAGCACCTAAGTCATAGATCACTGAAAGCCACGGGACGTGTAGCACCACATCCCTCTTCCCCAGGCACAGGCCGCTGGTCACCGAGTTGAATGAAATTGGTTTAACCAAGTAGAGCCAGTCTTACTTGTTCAAGATCTCCTCGTTCTATTACCAATTTGCACCAGTCAGATTTTTGTTTCTTACCTGGAGAAAACTTCACGCTTTAGGGCCTGCACATCGCGAAATCACCTAGTTGTGAAAACAAGAGCCAGTGCTTCTCCTTTCACTCAAGGTGTCAGTAGCAATGCTCAATGCATTTCTTAAAATGACGGCCACTTCCTAAAGCGCAAGTGTCCCCCTCTGAACTTTCCACCCATTTTTGCTGCTCCCAACAGCCAGACGTTTCATCCAAAATGCTAGTCTCCAAGGACAATTGTCTCAGTTTTGGTACTTAGGCCAATTAGCCTCAAAGGTTAGGACTAATTGCAGAAGCTTCATTCTATAACACGATAGCGACCCAGGCACTTTTGCTAGAGTAGCAAATGCTTCTTGATGATCATACAAGGGTTTCTGCCAAAACATTCTATCAGACCCCATAACTACTAACATGAAAGGTTTTGGGAAGACATGGAACAAACCTAATTTGCTTGGGTCCCAAATAAACATGTCTCCAAGCTTCTTTCTTACAACTAAAACCTACCATTCACATCTTTTTTTTATTATTGTTATTATTGTTGTTAGCATCTTATGATTCCAGTCAAATTCAGCTCAAAACTTTCTATGGATAGGGAGAGTAGGGGGTGGGGGGAGCACGGCAGGGGAAGATTTGTAGCTGCATGTTTAAGAAAGAAGCTAAATTCATCACAATGACAGGGGAGAGTGTTGGCAGAGATTTGAGCTATTTATTCTTTTAGGAAAATCCTATAAAGAATGACACGAGGAAGCCTCTATCTGCAGTCTTGTTCATCACACTGGTGAGGAGTCCGATAACAGATGTATGCAGCAGCGTGATTTAGTGCCGGGAGCTGGCCCCTGATGTGTATTAATACAGCGGCAAAGCGGAACGAAACCCTCTTCATCACTCATCTCTATAAAAGAGGTGGAATCCGAGATGGCCCGATGTTCGGCAGAGCAAGCCCATTTGTTCTGCTGACTGATGGAGCCAGCTCGGGCTGTGTCCTTCACCTCCATGGGGCACTCGGGTTGCAAAAAAGGAGATCACTGAAGCAGGACCTGGTCAACAAGTGAGACGAGAGCAGTTGGACTCAGCTGAGGAGCTATTTAAAGGAGAAGAAATCCAGTACTATACACACACATGTACGCCATCACAGGCGACGGCAATTCTGATTCACCCCCATGTCTCAATTTTTGCAGAAGAGAACAAACTCTACAAACAGAAGGTGAGAACACCAGGGACAGGGGAACCTCAGTACAGGGACTCATCGATTTTCTCCCTAGCACGCATCTACTTCTGTCTCACCAATGGCTAAGGAGCAGGAAAGGCTTCAGTTCATTCTACAGTCCTGCAGCGTAATCCTAGGTATTTCTGTAGCAGTTTGTAATTCTACTGCCAAATTAGCTTTAAGGGAAACAGTATTAAATTCTGCAAGTTTCCAAGCAGCATGTCCAGTTGCTCTCCAGCTCCACCCAGATTCAGAGATGGCTGTAGGAAGGCAGCTCCTTACACACAGCTTCCTTGTGCCAATCACAGATTTTTCTTTTTGCAAGTCAGGACTGTAACAAACCCCACCAGTAGGTGTGACACAGCTGGGAACATTTCAAAGCAGCATCTAGGCAAAGAGAGCATTTCTGACCATTAAGGACATTGCAGAACTTTTGCCATAGGTTGATCCACAAGCTTTGCTTCCAGAATCCTCTCACTACACTCTGATTACAAATTAATTTGTTACAAATATTCTATTCCCCGCCCCTCATCTGCTTCCTTCCTAAAACAATTTCAGGTCCCTGAGCTACTTTCTGACTCTTGAGTTTCACTTCAGAGGTAGGTTCACTTCTTCAGAAAATGTTCACTTTACAATTGTCTAGGCAGTTAAGCACAAGCACAATAATATTAAATAATACTATTACATTTGCAGGCACATAAATATAGTCACTAGCAATGCAGTACAGAAATTACATTCTAAACAAGAAATAAAAGGACACATAATAGGAGACAATGAGACACTAGAGTTTATACCAAGAAAACCCAGCACCCTGGTGCTGAGGCCAACTTGAAGCTGAAGCTACTGATGGTCAACTTGACTAACCCTTTTGCTCTAGAAGCTTAAATATCTTAGCATGGGATACTCAAAAGTTAGGAAAGAGCATCCTAAATCAGTCAATAACAAAACACAATAACAGTGACATTCAATCCATAATCCTGATCTGGGGGAGGTTTGTACTATCTCTGGAGGGATAGCACAGCTTTCTTACTTTACTCTGTCTTCCACTAGCTTAATGAAAAGCTCTTCCTATTCATCACCAGGTCTTTTGGCTTTCCACACTCTTTTCACATCACTGCTTTTCCCATCAGCTCATCTACCTGCCCATTACTGGATTACAACAATAGTTGTTAATAAGCTAGTGGCAGAACATGGGTCACTTGATGGCAAGCAGAATGTTTCCAGAGGTAGACTTGGGTGAGAAGCCAGAACGAGGTCTCGCAAACCCCTTTTTGTGCTATAGATCTGTAGCTTTTCAGATCTGGATGACTAGTCGGTCACCTATACAACCCCTAATAAAAAAAAAAAAAAAGCATTTCAACTACTACATTCCTAAATGAAGAAAGAAAAGAGTCTGTTCATTCGTAACACTAAAATGACTCCATGGGAGTAGGTCTCTTCACCCAGGGACCATACAAGAACCTGCCAGCCCAGAGATCTCCCCTGAATGGCAGGAACACAGACTACACTGATAACCTCCTTACTGCCTGGTAGTGCATAATTTAAGAATTATGTAAATAACACCTTGTGAAGAAATAATTTTCCACTGCACAGTGAAGCACTGTACAAACTTACCACAACCGCATTACCAAAGATTTGTTTAGTAAGCAATTTCTGATATTGTGCAAAAAATAGTTTCAAATGAAGGCACTTCTGGTAATACAGACTAGCTTCCAATTATTCGCCACCCTCTTAGAAGCTTCAAAATTACTAGTGAAGACATCGATATCAAGACAGAAATTGTGTGTAAAGAGTATTATGCTGGAAGATAAATTCTCCAGTTTGCTAACCCCATTTCTTCAAGGCTTGAATGTTGAGTTTAATTTAAAAAAAGAAACAAAAAACAACAACAACAACAAAAACACCACACACACACACACACCACAACACCGGAATATGACTTTATGCACACAGAATAAATTCAGACTACCTGAAGTTGGGCTGGAAATGGAGGCTGCAGCTGGCTTTCGTTTCCTCTTGATATCCCTTGAGCACGGTGGTCCCAGGTGTACATTTGCTTGTCTGCAGGGAAATTAAAACGACAAACTAAAATCTGTTCCAATATCATCTCCCTTGAAAGGTCAAAAACCCTCCAACTCCCTCTGTTGCCTTCTCTCATAGGGAAGGTGAATCAAAAGCTTCCTAGGTAAACTTTGTTCAAACTCTTCATTAACATACTATTATGCTCCCACTTCTTTTAGAGCTCCCAAACACAAACTAATCACAACACTTATCTCGGAGACTTTAAAGGATCTGGTATTGTATTTACTTTAAGTAATTCTTTGTATAAATAAGGTCGTGATCAAACAGCGTTATGATAAATGACCCACCATTATTGCTACACAGACCTTATAAACATCCGCAAAATTGTTAGTTGTAGCAATTAAGCAACCCTTACTTCTTTATTAAAAGTTATTTTAGAACATACTTAGAAACGTAGAATAATCTTATGATGCACATACATTTCAAATATCCATGCACATTATCTTCACTACAACAGCAGAGTACATAAACTTAGTTTGGAATGCAAAACATGTGGCTTCAAAATGATAATTTCCTTATAGAAGTGCAATGAAAACTGCCTCATCTGGCTTTTGGTAATACAGCCTTCCTCCACTAGTAAACAGTCCAGTGAGCTCAACTGTTAAGTCTGAAGCCTAATGACAACTCCTTCAGTTTAACAGTCTGCCAATTCAGAAGAAATATTTCTTGATGGGGACTGGATTGAATAAATATTCCTCCAAATTACAGAGGTAGAAACAAGTGAAGTTTAATTCAGAGAAGACTGTCTTGGCAGCATTCCAGAGAATCACCTCCAACACAATCCATAATGAATAGGAATACAGAATTTAGCACTGATGTTGGGGTTTAAATCCCTGTTTTGTCCACAACAGCAGAAAGTCTTTGGCAAGTTGTTCTGTTTCTCTCATCTGCATCTGATGTGCAGAATGCAGAACTGCAGGTCAGATAAAATCTCTTAAAGACTGTGAGGTCTTTACATGGTGCAAAGATTGGAACCATATAAATTCTGAAGATCAAGTGATTTAATGATTCTATACCATTAAGGCCAGCTATTTCTATAGCTGTTCTTTTCAGAAAGTTTAACAAACATTTATCAAGTGCTCATATCTTGCTCAAGGCATTTTAATAATATAATTTAAAACATAAAATTTATGCAAAAGCAAAATTTGCTGTTGTAGCTATACAGGACTGTGTACGGTGCACAGAAAATCCCACAACACTAAAAATTGTTTGAATACTACCTAGTCTGTTTGCTTACTTGCATTAAACACAGTAACAAGAAGAAGAAAGAAAAGGCAAAACAAAGTATCTAGTATTTTGCACTTTCAAATAAAATTCAAAACTTTTACAAGAAGTCTGCAAGATGTGTCATCTTAACCCAACATTAAAGAATAGCAGAAATTCAAATTTTTTGAAATTAAGTTTCACTGAGGGCTAGTATTTCAAATCCTTCATTTTGGGGATCACATATTAATGGCACTAGAGACAGAAGTCTCCTGAAAAGATAAACTAAAGGTTTTCAGAAATACCAGAGACACACAAATCTCATGCCTTTAAATAACATATATAGAGAACAGAGTTTAGTCAAAAACTGCTTTTATACAAGATTATGAGTAGCTATATATTCTTCTAGCGCAGTTCTGCCATGTATTCTGAAATATCTAGGCACACATAATCCAAGGAAAATAGGCTCAATCAAGTGTAACTTCAGTTCTGTATTTTGCCTTAGTGATATATGATTAGATCACTAACTAGATGACTACATAATTATATATAATAATCCAACTCTTTTCTTCATTCAATAATAAAAAGGCTTACTTTCTAATTTTGTGTGCTTACACCAACATCAGACAGTTGATCCTTAGTAGAGGATCACTATTATTTTCAAGTGACTTAATGCAATTTGCCCCACTGACAAAAATAACAGCTACACGAACAGTTCCTGGTTTTCAGACCCATGCACAAACCACATCTATCTTTGCCACAGAATTACACAGGAAAAAGAAGAAAAAACAAAATAGAGCAAAAGATTCTCAAAATCCCTTTCTGTAGTGAAAATAAAACCAAGATATTCTCCAGATGGAAACTTGTAGCAAGGATGCTGCGTCTAGCAGCCCTGCTTCTAACACAAAAGCCTCAGAGGTCATAAATTGCCCCTGTAACATGTATTTCATTCGGGTTTATCCCTTATTGATCACCCACAGTCCAGAGAGTAAATCAGGAACCTATTGATTACTCACTAGCTCCGACTAACCTGGTGGTAAAAGTGTCATTTTCAAGTGGCTGGTGCACTTTACAGGCACCATAAATCTGCAGAGGGGCACGTGCCAGGTGGTGCACACGAGCCTTGGCAGAGGCAGCACGCAGGACGGCAGACGTCACAGGGCACGCACAGCACGGGGATTTGAGGTGCAACACACGAAACAGGCGTTGTTGCTAGGTATCGAGCACTTCAATCTAATTTTCTAATTGCTGGCTAGCATATGGGTGCACTATAATAAGTGAGAGTTAAGAGTTAATTCCAGCTTAGCAGCAGATTCCTAGAAACAGCATCAACAAGAAAGCCAGATAATGGGCAGGTACAACATAACACTAGAGCAATCAACAGGTCAAACTGCAAAAATCTTGTAGATTCCAACCACAGGATAGTTTTTCTGCCAAAACTGGATTTTAACAATTCCTTTGAACAGCTTAGAAATAATTCAGAAGTATGTTAAATGAGGCTGAGAGGAAACAGGAAGCTAAAATAAACATGAGTCCATTGTTACAAGCTTTTCTGTGAAGAAATCAGAGGTAGAGAGCTTTACGGGATGAAAGAGACGCCTAAACTGAGAAATTGGGACCATTCTTACTTTGTCCTCACTTTCAATCCTTCCAGACTTCTTTGCTTTCTTCGCTGTTGCACAAACAACAGAAGGAAAATAACTGTATGATTACTTCTAAGCTAGGGCTGGTGGATCATAAAAAGAAAGCAGCGCTCAATCACACTTGAATATTTGGATCTGCTAGGTGACCAGAGCCTAATGCAAAAAACTGCTGTAATGTCCAGAGAGGACTGGAATGCTACTCTGAGAAGAGGAAAAGCAGAACACACCTGTACAGAAAGAGCAGAATCTGAAGTGCAGGTACCCTGATAACTGCAATATATCCAGCTCACACAGAGGAAGCGCTGCAGCCTCTCGTTGCCAGAAGTTAGCAAATGAAAAATTACATACCTATCAAAAAATGGCTTTATATGAAAAAAACTACAGTTACTTTCTGACAGTGATGATTTTTTTAATCACAAGTGAAGAATTATCCAGGAAATATAAATGTATCTTTCATTCATAACACATTACTTGAGGTGCCTGATTCTGCATACTGTTCAACTGGAGAAAAAGCAGGGTTTACTGGGCATAAAGCTGGGATTCATTGCTGCCCTCTAAGGAGACAAATTGAGCAACATTTTCTTTCTCACTCTTGTTCCCTTATTCTCACATAGATATTCTATGGCTTTTTTATATTATTAAACAGACTGTAACTGCATATTCTGGACAGCTGACAGACACTCATGCTGAGCTACAGGGGCCTAAGAGAAGTTTGCCACTGTTTCTCATCTACCATGGGGTTAAAATAGAAAATTGTAGGGTTTATGATTGGCAAACAGTATCATCTGTGGGAGATGGAATATAGAGCACAGACAGACACCAGGTCACAAGAACCTGCCTAAACACAGCCAGGTCCCTCAACCCTACACAGCCTATAAAACAAAGTCTAGATTGTAAAAATATACCCAGGTTCCCAAAACACAGGCTAAAAAACACCGTATTCTCGTGGCAGAGGCCTCTGAAAAGACTCTCCAAAGAGGACTGTGACACTTAAGTCTTTGGCCCTCTTAGAAGCAGAAACACATACATTACACACCTAGAAGTATATGTCCCTCACTGTAACCTCACATCATCCAATCCAGTTTCTCTGCTGATGATCTTTTATTCCAACATTATCCTCGCAAGCTGCGCCCTTGGATTGTGTAGTGAGAGAGAGGTGGCCATAAATCTACCAATGTACAAACAAGAGGTGGTATTATTCTCATTTAAAGTAAATGTTCAGAGACAGCCTTCTAACAAGCATCCTGCTACTAAAGCTGCCCATAACCCAGCTGTTGTTGTGATGCTGCATTCCCACCAAACATAGGCCAAATGAAAGGTTCTTTTTCTGAGCCCTGAGGTGTTACCTGAGGCTGTTTATGGTAGCTTCAAAGGTCAAAATTAATAGTGAGAGTAGGCTCCCTCCTCCTCTTTGAAACTGTACAGCAGCTGGGCACTGCAGTCTGATCTGCACATCACATGTGTAAATCAGTACAACTTGCTCATCCAATCTGCAGGCAGAGCTCCCATGGTTCTTGCTATCACATTGGATAGCAGATTTTTTTCTCCGAGTGGCAATGCCTCACTGGAGAGCTTCTAGAGAACATCTTAAGGAAAAATTTCTTAACAGTGAGGGTGACAGAGCACTGGAACAGGCTGCCCAGAGAGGTTGTGGAGTTTCCTTCTCTGGAGATCTTCAAAACCCGCTTGGACGCAGTCCTGTGCCACGTGCTTTAGGTGTCCCTGCGTGTGCAGGGGGGCTGGACTAGATGATCTCTAGAGGTCCCTTCCAACCCTAAGCATTCTATGATTCTATGATCTTCAGCTTCCAGCAGGTCAGTTCATTTCTTAAACCATCTGAATCTCACAGGCCCTCATTAGGTAGCAGTTAGTTCCCCAAACATTGCAATGATGCAGCAATTCAATCCCTACAGGTCTGCGTGTGACAAACAAGTGAATTCACTTTGCTTCTATTTTCCCCAAGTAAAGCTTCTAGACAGAGGATGCATTACCATATATTTTGATTTACATTTTCATATTGAATCTGCTAAAAAGTGCTAAAAAGAATCCTTGTATCTAATAAGCCTGATGAATATATAGACTTGATGATGGCAACATACTTCATAGGGGAAGAAAAGGAAGGTAAGCAAACAATTCTGAAGAGGAATTTATTTTTCATATAGAGAATTAGGACTCATGAAAATGGGATCATGAGGCCCCAAGCAACCACATGTGACACTAACTTGATAGCTGCTGCTCACAGCACAGCAGAATTTAAATCCTCAGCTGATAAACTACCAAATTTTAGCAAAAGACAACTTGAAAGTGCTCCAGCTAAATGGAAAGAGTTAAGAAGGACTGTGAGACAGATGGCTAAAGCAGGTGAAATCAAAGATAATTCCATATAGAGAGCTTTCAAGAAGATGAAAACATGTGGAAAGGTTGAATAGAAGAAGCTGAATACTGTTCTGGTCAAATGGGACTACATGAAATTCTGAACACTAGTTCACTCCTTCAGCTAACTCAGGAAAAGACTGACATTTGCAGGCAGTCACACACATTTGGGTAAGAGGCAAAAATGTCAGAGCCACTGCACAGACTGAAAAAAAAAAAAAGAAGAAGATTTAGACATGTACATATTTCTAGAACTAGAATTACAGACATCCAAGTCTTTTCAGTCTAACAGCACCAATTCCAGGGTGTGGAGCAACTGGCAGTTTACTAGGAACCGACCACCTACCCTTTAGATTTCTATGCCATGTTCCTGGGCAGATGTGAGACCTTCCTTCTAAATTCTGTTAAATACTACATTTAAGTTTAACATTAATTGACAGCACGTGCCAGATGATCTTCTTTAGGATTCAGCTAAATAGCTCAGAGGTCCCACTTAATTCTTAAAAACTGCATCTTCAAAATCTGCTTGCCATCCCACTAGGCACTTATGTCCGCTTTTCGTGTGTCTTCCAGTAAGAACATTCAGTTGAGTTTTTCACCCCTTACTCTTATTTCCAGCACTACACACACAGTAAACATTAGGGACATTTTATCTTCTATCTTCCTATTTTATTCTATCTTTTACACAAGCCCAAATTGAAGGGAACATTGGCTGTAAGCATTTCTGAAATTCTCACCCTGCCTCAAGGGAAGAACTTTCCTTTGAGGGAATCAACAACACATAGCATCTTCCCATTGATAAAGCCATGGGATTTCCAAAACCAAAACTAAATATTCTGCCTTGAGCCTTGACAAAGTCTTCTTAAACAGAAGCAGTTTCGGAAGAAAACAGAATTCTGCTCAAACCCCTTCTACTAGGGTGGCAACTAGGTAGAGGGGAAAGAGAAGGATCGCTTGGTCTGTCCATGCAAGTCTCTATTTGCTTGCTTTTAACAGCCTGCATTGTCAAGCAGAAACCTTAACAGACAAGACATGATTAGCAAATGCTTTGTGCTCTTAAAGGAGAGTAATTATAGGCATGTGAAAAAAGGGAAGAGATCCCTGAGGTACTCTTCCTTGTATGCCTCCCAAGAGGCAGCAGAGCCATTAAAAATTCCATGATGAAGAGAAAAAACAGCCTGGGAACAGCCAGGAGGCAATACAGCAAATTAATACACCAGCTGTCCCTCGGGAAGACTGCAAGAAAGCAGGAAACTCTCCTCGCTTCACAAAATAAAATTACACCACTAATGATAACAGTCACCACACACACAAAACTGCTTCTAATGATGGGTGTGAAATTCCCAGTGCTGTGCATACACTTTGAATGAAATCTCTTCTCATCACAGACATAAACCAAAAAAGGTAATCTTGGTAGCATACAATTTATCTGGCCTTTCAAATAAGACTTTCCAAGGAACCCTCCTTGCAGAACCTGCTCCTTGACACCAGAAAGCCTTTCTTGAACACCCTGGCTCAATGCTTGGCATTCTGGCCAGCAGTTCTGTTTACACGGTTACCAGCCATGCACTGCACTGCTAGATGAACTGGACCAAAATCCAGAGAGGCAAAAAAAGCATTTTCATGGCAGAGAACAGATTCCACATCATAACTCCACTGGACTCATTTGAAATAACATTCTTTAAAGAGGACAAGAAACTAAGCACAAGGAAGTGCTCAGGTTGAAACTGGTTGCCCACAACACCAAGATGGGCTCTTCTCTATTGCATTTCACATCATTCTCAGGGCATTAGTGCTTCTTTTCCTACCTCATTCAGAGCAGTTTCTGAGTGAAGTTTCTACAGGATGAGATGCAAGCTGTTAAGGAGATTAGTAAACCACCAAATATTAGAATTTAATCAGTTCACAGAAAAGGAGGAAGATTTTAAGTGGGGCAATGGATAAAGAGAGCTCAGAGAGACCATTTGAACCTCCTGCAATAAATGAGAAAATAGACTGCTAGCGGACTTGGATCGTGAGGCATTAAAAAACAAGTATTGTGAAGAGAATGTTTCTGTGAAGGAAGAAGTCTCCTTTTTTGCTGTTGGCAGCGTCTTTACCTAAGGCAAGTACCTTGCATTGAAGAGTTCAATCCTAACCATAATTTTCCCCTCATAAAAATTCTAGAGCATATTTCACACTGTAATAGGAACCACTTTACCTATAACTACAGGTCTCTCAAAATGCAGCCAATGCTGGGATAGGACAAACAACATGGCTGACAACTCATCAGGAATTATGTTGGTCAAGACATCAGCCAACTGGTCCTTAGAAGGAACCAAGCATATCCACCAGCTGCTAGACATAAGTAACAAAAACAAGCAGTCACTATGATCACCCCAGCTTCAGGAATCCCTTGTTCAACTAAACCGCAAGCAGTAGCTCTGAAAAAAGCCTCCACAGATTACCACAGAGGTAAAGACTTGGGCCTGTATGAATTTGTAAACAGGAGCTGACCAGCTATGTGTTCCGGCAGACTGAATGGAGAAGAGCTGGTGCCACCTGGAGCTTGGGTAGAACTTGGCATGACATTCAAGGCACAAGAAAGGACAGGTTCACTCCAATTGAAGAGACCAACCTTCTCGTTTTCCAAGAGGAAAAATACCCAAATTGGGGCAGAAGCACAAAAAGGAAGCAACATGCTGATGCACAGGCTTCTGAGTTCTTTACATTTTCTCACAGCTGATTTTCTACAAACTGTTTTTTTTGTTTTGTTTTTTTTTCCGGCTACAGCAGCATGAGGTCGTGGTGCGACATCACAGAATTCCCACAGAAGCCAGCGGGAGGAGAGGCTTTGCTGAGTGGCTGCCAAACTTTCCTTCAGACACATACAACCTCAGTACATTTTTCATGCTCTATTTGCTAATTAACAAGTGAAAGAAAACCATGAAGTTGAAAGTCCAGACGGCTCTTTCAGATTAAGTCCTTCTACAAGAATATAAACAGGATACCCCAGGCAAGGCTTTGTCTCCTTCTACTTTAAAGCTCAAGGGCACCTTACCTTTGGATAGTCACCTGCAGCGCAGGAGCTGGAGGCGCCTCCAGGGGACTTGCATTTAATTTAGAATTAGTCAACACCAGGTACCCAAATAGCATTATTAACCCCAACTGTACAGACTCAAATATCTTGAAGGTTGGCCAGTCCAGACCTCAATTTCTACTGCAGCAATATACAGAGATATCAAGCCATTGGAGGTCATACCAGATCACTGTTTTAGGCACTCAGGACCCCAAAAAGGCCTCACTATCTCACCCACACCAGCTTGCCAGCAGCTTCCTTCTCTTCTTGTCCTGAATCTAATACCCAGCACCACCACTATGCACATTTACAATCACGTAGCAGAGTAGCAGGGATTCACTGCACAACACACAACAGATCACATTTATTCCTGAAACGCAGCGTGTTCCGCCTAACATACACTGTTTCATACAGTGTAAGTACTTAGTGCACAGAGACTGCTTTACACTCAGGTTGAACACAGGCCTCCCGTGTTCACCAGGGAAAGCACATTAACTTCCAGGCCTGTGAGTACTTTACTAACTGCGGAGCACTACTGAAGACAACCCCCAGAGAGCAAAGCAAGGGAGTTACCTGGCAGTGCAGTGTGCTGGTGAGCATCTTCGGTGGGAAGCATCAGCAAGCATATCCAGAGAGTACAGAGGAGATAATGGATTGAACTGGAAAGTCAAGAGAGTTTATTTAAGCAAAGTGTTAAAAGAAACAGTCTCCATACACACCTGTTAAGGTCTATGCCTTATAGGTGTTCATACAGTATATGGAGAACTTTCCAAAACATCGAAGGGTGAGACTGACTTCAGAAGAAAAGCTGGCATAGCACATAACAGCAATAACCAACCCTCTTCTCAGAACAGGCAGCCCTACAAGCATACTCCTCTTTCATGAATCTCACATTACCACAAATGCAAGTAGACCAAGAGCATCCTCAAAGAGCTCCACTACTGTACACTATGAGCAAGTCTGCTTCCCTTTGAGGAAGCTTCTTGACCATCTTCACATTGCAAAGTCGCTGGTACGAATGGTGCAAGCACAAAATGTTTCAATGTGTGACTGTGGGGAATGTATCTCGGAGATTTCCAGGAAACTCAGGCCTACCAGGCTCAGTCCATAATGAGCTTCCAATTCATTACATAGGAAGTTAACTGTACACCACTCCTCCCACTCCTCTTGCAAGTTCTTTCCCTGCAAACTGCTTAAAAGGAATTTCTGAAACTGTGTTTGGTCAGAATAATTTCAGATACTGGACAATTTCTGAGACCAGCAAGGCTGAACAAGACAGGTCATTGTGGAAGATGCAGTTCTTAAAGATACATATATATATATTATATATATATATATATATATATATATTTAAAGGAACAGGACAGAAATGGATTCATCTATTCAACCAATGTAAGCATTGGCTACCTTACTCCATTCCCAAATACAAAGTTCATTCTCATAGCTGCTATTGGATGCCTGCAATGCATCCCCATTCACCATCACCTCTTTATAATTCACACAACTGGCAGGAAATTCAGTTCCATCTACTTTGCAAGGTGCCACACCAATCTCCAGAACCCATGTTCTTGTATTACTCGGCTCACTGATGCATTTTAAAAAGGATAAATGAATAAACCACAGCTGTAGAAGGACTCATCATAAATACTATCTGCAAATCTAGAAGTTGGTACTAGGCCATTGTGTTCAAACTTTGACAGAAAGTGAGGCACTTTGTGCCATACAGTTTCTGTTATCAGGGAGCTCTTCCTCTAACTGGACTCTGGACTGTTGGCTTATCAGGGAAATAACACTTCAGCTGGAAAGTAGGGAAGAATCACCAACAATCCTTTGTAGCTGATGCAAGCTCATTTGAGAAAAACAAAAGCACTTACTTTTGTCATTTTAAAGCTTACTGTAACTATCACTCATCTCTTCAGCAGTATACAAGCACTATAGGAACTGCTGCCACCTGAAGGGAATGGCTTTTAACTCTAAAATTCACAAACCAAAAAGCAACTTATAATTGAACAGGAGGGAGTGTGCATGGCTGAACAGTTACAACATGACAGCTCAGCTGGAAAATGATTTTGCTTGCTGGTATCAAGAAGATGAGCTCTCTCTCAAGTGAAAAAGTTTCCTGACACTTAACCTATGCAAGACTTAGTGGACACCACCTAGTAAGGTAGAAGTCCATATGCAAGAGCCTCAGTGAGTTAAAAGAGCAGCTATTTCACTTACTTGTCACTTCTTACATTCCCCTGGTACAGTTGCTATTTAATTACAATCAGCTCACCAATTTTTCCCTTCTCAGTTAATCAGATTATCAGGCAAAAGTCTGAGCCAGACAAAGCAAAACAAAAGCATCTAAAAAGAGTTCCCATTCTTATAGAATTTTGTGAGGCCAAAGCTCTCCTGTCAAGAGAATTAACCTTCCATATCCTCTGGATACACCAGAGGAAGACTGGAACAAGACTGACACAGGGAGATAAACAAAAGGGGTTCTTGGGCTATTCAGTCCAAATAGACAATATAGTGCTTGAGAGACAGGTTGCTTTCAAAGCCCAGAGACATCAGTTACCAAAACAAGAAGGGACAGGGCTGCCTTACCTCACGTGCACAGGCCACAGTGTGGGGGAAATCAGAGGCTGGCACTTTGTTCTTTCTAGAGAGAAGGAAACCAAGAAAATAAAAAAGGTAGAGCAGTGTCAGCTTACCTGGTTGCGATCTCTCTTCCCCATGGATGGTAACCAAAAACTGGAAGAAGGCAGAGTAGAAAGGCGAAGTGGGAGCAAAACCAAGGAAGAAAGGAATAAGGGAAAAGATAGTTGTGGGTAGAGAAAGAAGGAGAAGGGATGAAAAAAAATGGAGGGAGAAGAAGAGAGATTAAGCACCAACAGGACTCATAGTAAAAACAACAAATTTCAGATCCAGGGAAGAAATATGGATGTCATGAGCTGGTGAAGGCTGAACCCACCAAATTACAGGTGAGAGGAGCCTCCCTTACCTAGTAAACAGCCCAACATGAACAGCATTAGAGGACCCCAGGGACAGACGGCATATTTCTGGTGCCAAGTATAATTATAATACACAAATTGGCAAAGGAGATGTAGAACATCAATGACGGAGAAGGTAATTTCGCGGCTGCCTTGTCAGTAAAATTTCTGCTATTGGGGCACATGCCCACAGTGTGTCTCCACATAGAAACTTTTTAAAAACTAACAGAAAGAGCTCTTCTCATGACTGATGGGAGAGCCATAGTTATAGTGTGAAGGTATATGATAAGGAAAGAGAAAATAAAAAGATGACTGGAAACAGAAAGGCTTTTGTGCACTGCCACACACACCGGGGCAACCTTAACACTGGGGAAAGTCAGCAAATGCAAATAAAATAGTGGAGAAACCATCACTAAAGGGGCGGGTCCTATTCAGCAGGTTACTGCATTCTTAAATTATCGTAAAGCTTTTCATTCCCTCCAGACCCAGAAAGGAAGGGGACCCCAGAGTTCTTCCACCCCTCCCAAAGTCCTACACCACAACTGTAAGGGCCTTACTCTTTCTGGCGAGGGTCACTAACAATATGACCTAACCTCTCGGTGCCCAGTGTGCTCACGGAGGTCTCCTGAAACACAAAGACAGGTAAAAAGTTGCAGATTCTTATGTAGTGAGCAGACATAACAGTTTCTTGCTGCCAGTTAGAAGACAACTTTTACCCTCATCCTTTCCTTCCAAACCCACACTCAGCTAAACTTACCTACCTTCTCATTTTAGAACTTCAGGTAATTAAACTGATTAAACTAGTAAGAATGCAGGAGAATGGCATGTTTTTCTATTTGCTGGGCAAGTTTGCTGCCATTTTAGTGGCACTGGCAAAGGGCTGCACCAAGGACTGGATGAGTACATGGTATGGCTCACAAAGGTGCAGTTCAGAACACAGGAACGGGCAAAGCAGCGCTTACCCACAGGCTGCTGCAGCCAGCTGGGCCAGAAACAGGCCAAGGGGTGAGACATCACATCACCCCACCAATAAAACCTAGGATTGTTTCCCTCACAAACAGAAGGCAACTCCTCTAATCAAAGGAGGGGATTCACCAAGCACAGAAGAACAAAACTAAGAAAGTAAGCATGGAACTTGTGCTTTCTGAAGGCAACAGTGCAGGATAATTTCTCTAACAACTCAACAAAAAAGGTACATCCCAGGAGAAAGGACTTGCTCTGGTCTGGGAGTGCACTTCTCTCAGCAAGACGCTGCTCCGTTCATGCGCCTGTACAATGTACTCCCACAGCCTGAAGCACCAGCTGCTCATATCTGCACAGCAACTACCTCGAAGAAAGGAATGTACTTTGTGGTGTGTCTGAAGATGAGGGTAAAAGGCTTTAACAGGTAAGTTTCTTCATAGCTTGTACCAGGCTACATAGGCAAAACACACACAAAGTCTGGGGGAGGTAGTAGCAGCAGGGGTGAAAAATGGGCTATTTGTTACAGCAGGAAAATTACTAACTTAAAGTGCCGTAATGTTTAAATTTACGGTTTATTACTGTGTAAATTACAAGCCATACTTTTGGTAATTAGCAGCTTGCTGGCGGGGAGCTCTGAATGAAACTCATTATTTATGATTACAATTTAGAGATGGGGAAGGGGGAGCAGTGACCTCCGCTGCAAATGACAAAGATCCCTTTAAGGTGATGAAGATGAATTAAACAAGTAAATATTATCCTTCTCATTTGGATCATTAGAGGTGCTGCCAAGAGGCCCAGTCACTTGCATGTGGCCTGAGGAGCCATACCCAAAGCTGATCTCTTGCCAGCTGAGGACTCATATTTTAAACACTGGTTATAACTAAGCAAGGTGACTAGAAGGAAGAAGGGGCAAATAAGGAGCTTTCAGGTGTGACTGAAGAGAAGCAGGAAAGTGCACTTCTCTAGCCCCCAGCCTCCTCTTACACCTCTCTAACAAAGACTCTCTAAAGGCAGCCACTTCAGAATATACACAAACACCATCAAGAGCACATCCCAATTAAAGTAAAATCCAACTCAGCCAAAACCTTCCTTCTTAGAAACATCTTTCATAATGAACAGCACTTTCCACTCCAACATCCAGCCATGACCTTTTCCCCACCTAAGTAGGCTTCTGCCAAATCTCCAAATAGGAGTAGGACTAACATTTCTTTCCTCTTTGCACCAAATCCTTCTGTCACTAAAAGGAAGCTGACAAAGCCACCTTCCTCTGCTGCCACTCATACCACACTGCTGTGTGGTAACATTTTTATGCCTGTAAAATCTGATCTTCCTTGACCTTTGAGTCAGCTCTCGGGCCTCGCAGTCTCAGATTAGAAGCACGCACAAGTGTCCTGTCATCATTACTTTCCCCCGTATTCTACCTAAAGCTTCCTGCTATTTATGTTCTCTACCAATCAGTCTCATACAACCTTCCACACCTCTTTTAGCAATGATCAATTGTATTTGCCATTCAAAATGTTCCTTAAGGTCCACTTTGTCACTGAATCAGCTTCAGGCATTCAAAGCAGTTAGGCAAAACAGAGAGCATGTGCAAGGACCACTTTCTACAGAAATCAATTCACTTGCTAACTTACTTAGAACACTACTTCAGGACTGATCTACACTGTAAATATAAATTTATCATCTTGCAAAATGGAATACCTTGCCAACAAGTCTCCTGCGACCTTTCCGGAGACAACGGGCAGCAGCTCCTGGCAGGCGATTGAGACGAGCATGAAACCCTGAAAAGAAAAACCAAGAAAAGAGAAAGCAGTGAGATTCTGACTGACAAAACATCCAAGAAAGGGAAATGGTTAGGTAGACACAGTGCAGGATCGAGATCAAATTTTGTATACAGACATGCCTTATTTAGTTTCTGCTCAAATCAGATCTTGTCTCAATCTGCAAGAAGCAGATAATTTATTCATTCAATGTATTTATAAATGAAATAGAAACATATTAAAAGAGGGAAATAAAAAAACAAGAAGAAAAAAGATTCAAGAACTAGGGCGGCTGATGTGAGGATAATGATTATTTCAGGATCATCTCCACTTGTGCAGATATTTCGAATCATGATTTTATTGCACTACAGACAAACAACAAAAAGTTTATAAAACCCAAGCACATAAATGTCATATCCACATCTTTCCATTGCAAAGGTAGGACAAAACACATGAAGAAAGGTCATTAGTAACAGGAAAAAAAAAAAAGCTCCACACACACCACTAACATCGGTTTAAGTTGCAGTGCCTATGAACAATATCTACTCTTGGCATCATGTCAGAGTTCAACGACAGGCTGCCTTCCTTACAGAGCTCACCTCTCTGAGCTGGCCGTGAGGGCAAAAGAAACGTGGAGTCTGAGAGCTTGTCCAGGCCCGAGTCAAGCCGCTCCACGTCAGATCGGTGGTCAGCTCCCCACTTGGGGAGAAAGTTGGGGACAGTGAATCCTGGGACACATTCTCCTTCATAAAACCAATCACTCTGCTCATCATCTCCTAAAGAAATAGAATGGAATTATCTGCAAGAAACACAACATGCCCCAAGACTGCCCCACAAAGTACCATAGGTGGGCATTTTCAGACGAGGTAAAACAGCTGAGATCTCATTAGGAAATCCTTCCTAAACATCCTTATATATATATTCTGTTTCAATGATCTGCAATAACTATAGGGCTTCACCAACCTTAATGCTTTACACTAACCAACGCATCCGTCTGCAGAATTTCCCTAAAGAACAAAACACCTGCCTAGGGCAGCTGCATCACTCTGTTATGGCTGCATCTCATCAACCTTAGCCTAGTGCTGCGTGGTGTCTAACATACAGCTCTTTCTCTGAAGTAATTACCATCACAGAGGCAGAGCCCAATCATTTGGCACATGTTACAGGCCACCACAGGAGAGACCTCTCAACAGCAGAAGACAAGGCTCACGAAGCAAGCAGGAGGAACACACTCTCTCATGACACAGATTCCTAGTCTCAAAACTGAGCATCTTACAGGAAAAAAAAAAAAAAAAAAAGGCACACGAGTAATCAAAATGGTCACTCAGAGCGTAACTACTAACCATGCTGTCAGTCTGGCTCTATTAAAATGCCTTAGAGTCTATCAGAACCACGAAGCTCCTGCAAAGCTAGTGCAGTAGCAAAAGAAATCTCCATAAAGCAGAGCCACGGTAATTAATACAGTTGCAGTCTAACGCTGACCTGCATCAGACATTTTTTATGGTAAAACAGCCTGGCAGAAATCCCCCAAGGGCAGTATCAGGCAAGCAGATCCAGATAGATTAAGCTCTTTTGCATCTGAGCTGAAAAATAGCCCCATGTACTTACAAGTTATTTCACCTTGCCTTAAAAACTACTGTCCTGCATGACTTCTGGGAAACATAAGCACCCCATTTACTCTCCTTTCTCAGCTCACAATATCCCTGTCCAAACTCCATTATACCTGCAGGCCAAAAGACCAAAACACCTCGCTCCAGTGAGGGCAATGCAATTTTATACATAACAGAAAGAGCAGCTCAGACAGAGCCTCAACCCCAAAACAACTCCGACCAGCAACAGGTGGGACTGCCAGCTTCATACCAAAGTTTTGATGCTGCCTTTGACTTCTGTGATATGTCACCATATCTTGCTGCTTCCAATAAATACTTCTTAAAATACAGAGAATCCTACCTACTTTTGTTAGATTAAAACTAAGTCATGTTGGATAGTTCTCAGTGTTAATAATTTGTGCTAAAATATCCCTATGATTTTGGATCTAAAAACTTGGTGTGGTCACACGTTTCCCAACGGTCCTTTTGTAAGACAAACATCAAGAATAAGGATCATGTACTGATACCACAGTTCCTTTCACCTTGAGATGCCCCAATTCATTTTACAATAAAAACTTACATTCAAATTATAAACTAGGATCATTCTCCCCTCGCTGAACCACACTGGTAGCTGGAATTGCAAAGACAACCCATTTAATTCACATCACAAATATTACATGATACACCCTCAAAAGAAGGGGAAAAAAAAAATCTATCTTCCACTAAAGTAGAGCGATAACTTAAATTTCCCCTTATTCAGTTCAGGATTGTATAGTGATCTAAAAGAAAAAAAAATGTTTTAGGTTCTCCCCATCCCACCAAAGTGGAGAGCTGTTGTTTACTATGTTTGTTTTTTTATGATTGAAAATTGTTTTAAAAGGGAGATGTTTCTATTTTAACCTGAAAAATGCAACATTTGGTTTTCAAAGAACTCTCCAATTCTTTTTGACATAAATGTAAACTAAAACATCTTTGCCAGCAAGCTATTACGGTATAAAACTGCTTAACTAGACATAGTCTTGTTGACTGTGAGATCAAGCCTATTCTTCCCCTCTCCAGACAAGGAAGATCATAAAGATCATAATTGGATTGGTTTTAGTCAATATATTCTATGCTCTCTTATGTGCTCAATACCCTATTGAGCCAAAAGCAGCCAAAAGTTAACGTCAAAAAAAAAAAAAAAAGAAAAAAAGAAAAGAAAAAAGAGTGCAGGACCAGAGCAAATATGCAGTGATACTAAACCGACCTGCAGCAATCATGTCTCAGGTGATGAAGTAAAAATTCAATACTTCAGTCACCACACTGCTTCGTCATCTCATAGGTAAGTGCCCACCACTTTCAGCTCCCCCTGAACAGTCATCAGCAAAGAGAGGACAAAGGACTTCATTTTTTTGATTCTTTGAAAGGGTAAGTACTGGAAATAGTTTAAGTTATTTGTCAGCAAACAAAAGACAAAGCTCATCTTTCAAATTCCTGCTCTCAGGGAAAGTGTTACAGCCACTTAATGATCACAACGGATCAGCCCTACAACTTAACACATCATCTGAAAAAGTGTAAGCATCTTTGTTAGCACGGTATTCTCTCACACATACTTGGGTCAGGAGCAGGCTAGGGGAAGCAGCATTTCCTACTGAATTCCTGATACTATTTGCTTCAGCACTCTCATATTCCCAGGAGAGATCTCATCCAAATCTCAGCTTGTGAAATGTGACAGAATCAGAGTGCACACTGGCACAAGCTGCACGGAATTATAGGTCTCTAGGGTCACCTTCTACCTGTTCCAAATATTACAGTATCGAGTGCCTATGGGTCTACTACAGCTGCTTTTGCACCGACTTCTGTCCTATGTCACATACACTGCACTCTGCGTGGTCAATGATCAGTGAAACCAGCATATATCTCACTCTCAAAAAAACCCTAAGAAACAGTTACTACAATATACACTGAAGCGACTGAAGTCAACTCACAACATAATAGCAAAGTATTTAAAGAAATAGAACCTATCACATATTATTGCTGTCTTAGCAAAGTTTCTTAGGTTACACGTCAATATTAATAGTGCTTTTTTGGAGTTATTTCTTCCTCCCCACAGAGAAAAGAACTAAGATTCTGGGCATTAACAGTATGTGGGCATCATTTCTTTAAAAAAAAAAAAAAAAACTATAGCAATGGATCATAGAATTTGCACTTTCACTGTGCAGAGCTCTCAAACTACTATTGTAGTTTTGTGCCTCGCCAGAATAGTTTATTGCATTTAATGTTACAGATCTGATAAAGTATCTCAGC